TGGGTAACGGTGATATTTTTTGAGCTTCTCCCCTGTTTTATTTTGATAGCGAGCTTCGCATTCATGTTACAAGTTCTTTGTAAGCACGAGCGTGCCGCCCGCTCCAGAGCAAGACAGTTACGTTTCAACCATCATCGCGTTTCTTTTAAAATTCAAGAAAAATCCGCGGTCAAAATAATGGCAGTTGTTATAGGCTTGTTTTTACTGTGTTACGGACTTTATATTCGCTGTTCGTTAGTATTTATTTTCAAAATCGGAGTATGTAATGATCAGGAATATAAACTACCTCTGTTAGTTTTAAACTCCGCCATTAATCCTGTAGCTTACGCTTTCTTCAAGAGAGACATTAAGAAGGAGATTAAAAGACGTCTATGGTGTACTATCGTAGAAGAGTGAAACGAAATTGAACATATTGATAATGGCGATTGCCAACCCAATTATATTTCGTGACGAGTTTTGTTTTTCCAATCCGCAGCCAGAATTGCTATATTTCTTATAAGTTTAAGTTGAATAGGACAAAAACTGTGTAATCGTCTCAACTTGTCTTTTAGTTAATGTACCCGAGACGACAAGGGTAAAATTGAACCAGGATTGTGTGAGCGAATCCTATCAGAATTTGAAGAACTTCAAAGAATTCGTCTTTTTGTTTAACCGAATGAAGACTGTAATTAACTTAGCTATAGACACTGATATACAAGACGTTTAATCTAGTTCTTTGAAGAGAGCCGTCAGTGGTGAGGTCGGGATTAGAGACGTTTTTTTGTTTGTTTGTTTGTTCGTTTTTCAGGCGATTTTACAAAATAGAAAATAAAATACGTGTTGTATAGTAAGGTACTGGTGATTGGTTGGGTCTGTCTGGTCTATATGACAAGTATATCAATATATTTGTCTTTCCCTCGAAGTTTTAACCAATTATGTGCAATCATACACAGAGATGGCATTTCTTTGGGTACACACACAAGTTTATCAGGGTTATGTGCTGCTGAAACATGCTTCAAATATAAGTGATCCCAGCGCTTCGCTTTTTTTTTTATTATTATTTTTTCTTTCGTATCACTATACTGACTTGTTATGTATTCGCTACTTATTGTTGCTTGGCCATATATTCTGACAGGTACAACAAACTTCAAAAAAAAACTTAGAGCGAGAAGACATATGCAAAACAGTTCCTTTTAAGGTGGTCGATTGCCGTTTGATTGGTCTAGGAGACCAGAAATCCAATATTGAGACATTAAAATGGAAAACGAAACTTCTGTGTATCAAGTGGCTATCGTTCTGTGTTGCTAAAACCAAATATTATGAATTTGCAGGCAGCTGCTATTACGGTTGTATTTGAGCTTTAGCAACTCGCATCTGGATCATTTTGTTTGCATTTAAAATCAATCATCTAAAAAGTCATAATAAATTAAGTGCAAAAAAAAAATTATTCCACGAAAAGCAACAGGTTCAAAGGTCCCACAAGCAAGGCAATGGAGACTTGGCTATGTAAGCCCTCTTTGAGGAAACAATGGCTTCGAATGGGCCAACATCTATGACACTATTTTAGTTCGTCATTAACATTCACAGTTTTTGTGGGATTATGCAATGTGAAGACATGATTGATCATCGCAGTTATGCACACAAATTAAGCATGTGTGAAATTAAAGCCTGAAAAAAAAAAAAAAAA